GGGGGGGGGGGCAGGGAAGCACTTTTCATCAAATTCTCAAAGGAGTGCAAAAAAAAAGAAAATCAATGTAATTGGTCCAACAACTTCATTTTACACATTAGTTCCAGGATGCATACCTATCTTATGTGATTTTCCCAAGCGGTTGTCATGGATCCAGTGCTGCTCCACTCAGATACTCTTTCATAACGAAAGGATTTCTTTCCCACCCATGCCTGGGAATTTTATCAGCTGATGGCTCTCGGCCATCAGCCCGTTTCAGAAATTGCCTAGTCTGAAGAAAACTGCATTTCCCAAAGTCGCATCCCCTTCCAAGGACAGCTTGCATCCAAATGCTCATAGATGCTGTTGGTAAAAAGGGCTTTTTTTCCTCACCCCGAATGGGGACAACTCTGAAGAGCCATCCCAGTTTCAATGCTCCCCACAGGGTCAGCTGAGGTCTTGTGGCCGCACCACAGCCCAGTTTCTCCCCGTGCCCAATCCTGCCTCCTTCTGCTCCCCATGCAGATGTTGATCATGAAAACATCTGGCATTAAACTTCCTGCATATTCATCTTCCAGGGAAGCCGGCCTGAGGTAGTGGCAGAGCTATGACTAGCAAATTCTAAGTTCTAGCCTTTGATCTTCCCACCACGCTGCTTCCTCGGTCTAACAGAATTTCTGCCTTTCTAACGACAAACGGAGGAGAGCACACAGATGCACGTAGAAAATGATGACTACACGGCTGGGTCTTGAGAATATCATGCTAAGCGAAATAAGTCAGACAGAAAAAGTTAAGAACCGCGTGATTCCACGCATATGCGGGATACAAAACTGAAAGCAACAAATGAACAAACAAGACAAACAAACAAAAATTCATAGACAAGGATAACAGTATGTTGGTCACCGGAGGGAAGGGGGTGGGAGGGTAGTAGGGTGTAAAGCGGGTTAAGTATACGGCGAAGGAAGATAATCATCTGACTTTGGGTGGTGAGCGGACGGTGCAACATACAGATGACCTATCACAGAATTGTACCCTCGAAACCTCTATAATCTTAAATGTATTGTCACCCCCAATAAATTTAATTAAAAAATAAATAACTTAAAAAAGGAAGAGAAAGGCAAATGAAATGTTTAAGTGTTATAAGAAAATTTAAAATGCTTTCAGCCCTGGCTGGTGTGGCTCAGTTGGTTGACGTTGTCTCATGCACCTAAAGGTCACTGGCTCGGTTCCCGATCAGGGCACATGCCTAGGTTGAGGGTCCAATCCCCAGTCGGGATGTGTATAAGAGGCAACCAATCAATGTTTCTCTCTCTTCCTCTCCCTCTTCCTTTCTCTCTTAAATAAAACATATTTAAAAAATAAAATAAAATGCTTTCATATTCAGTGAGTAGTAGGACTGACTGATGTGATCATTTTTTACCACATGGCTCCGTCTTGGACACAAGACATGGAGCACTGGAGTGCTCGAATTTTTGGTCTGCCATGTTTTGACTTAAAATAACCAAAGTGTTACAATTTTAGACCTGTAATATGTACGTGATAATAAAAATCTCAGATTCTTTCCGCTAGTAATGGATATTATAGATTATCTAGTCCAAACCTTACATGATACAAAGTAGATCAGACTTGGTCAAGATCACAGTTGAGTCAGGACAACACCCACGTCTTTTGAATCTTAGTGCAGAGCTCTCCACCACATGCGCAGCTGCTCAGGGGTCCCACAGCCCTTCTCAGCATACACATTCTCTCTTTTAGAATGTCTTACCTGACACCTGCCATTTGCACAGATATCTAATCCCTGATATCCACAAGTAGTTCCATCAATCACTTTTTCTGACAGAAGAATAGGCTGGTCTTTTCCAACGGGAGAGCAAAATAAGGCACATGGTTTTCCTACATGGGGAGTAGATAAAAAGAAACAAGCAAACGTGACTCCATAAATGTTTTTATCTTAAGCTTTATTTTTCAGAACAGTTGTTGAATAAAAAGTATAATTTGATAGTTAATTGGATATATAATACCGGAGTAGATAACACTAGAGGGCTATTATGAGTAGTATATGAGATGATGCCTGGGGGAAAATATGAGTATCAATGTCCTTCTTAAAATATCTGTCTTCAAATTACTTTCAAAATGTATCACTTATTATTTTCTGGCACTAAACCTCTACCACACACAAGCCAATTGTTCTTCCTGAAAAATATTATGCCCACCCCCATTTTTGCTCCCATTTTTTGGAACGAATTCTCCTTTATCTTAAGTACATATCAGAATCCCGCCTACTTAAGATTTACTTTATTCATAAAACCTTTCATTTTTTTCAACTTTAAAAAAATTCTTTTTCAATTACAGTTTACATTCAATATTATTTTGTATTAGTTTCAGGTGTTCTTGATGTCTCACTTATAAATCCCAATACACTCATTTTCAGTCCTATGCATTTGGCATTTTCTAATTAAAAAATTACTAAAGGGAGAAAGAAGAACTTCTAAGATAAGCAACTCTATAAGATTTTGCATGACTAGGACGTTTAGAACTGTAACACGATCCCATCAGAACATCTATGGGAGCGCAGTTGCTGAGGTGCTGGCTGGGACTCAACCCCCTTTTCTGCTTAGAGAGCATGTCACTGTACAGGACATGGGGCTTGAGAGCCACAGTTCTAGGTAAAGCATTCTTGACGGCTGGCTGTGTTCTTCAGCACGCCACTGCAGTGAGATAGGGTGGGCAGAGTTAAAACACTTGCCCAGCAAGCTCAGTCAGAGAGCGTCAAAATATCTGTAAAGCGCCGTTTCTATTTCTAAGCGTGGTACAGAGGAGCTGTAGTATTTGGTAACACCAGTAGTAGGATCATCCAAATCTGAAACTTTAGAGCAATTTCCATGCTACATTACTACTCTATTGGCTTGACACCAGTCAGGCCCTTTACTGTTTATTAAGCTCATATAAATAGAATGGAAAATAGCTGACAGTCTCTGCCACTGATCTTCGAGTATGTCTTCAGTGAAGTTCCAGTATGCTGATGGGGCTCTATAAATACCCAGTAACAGCCAGAGGCATGGAACAGGGTATCACTTTGCAAAGAGAAGACAGACAGTCAAATGAGCCTTCAGAATTGAGCATTTCAAACAGTTTTCACATGTGGCTTCTGAGTACCGCTTTGAACAATTTTGATGAGTTGGAACAAGGCCTTCAATGTGCATGGTTTTGAAATTTTCCTTTAAGATGCCATTATAAGCCCCAGTGAAGCCCTGCAGTGTGCTCTCGCACCTCAAAGTAAGCTATGCTTATTCAGCGACTGCTTACGATGTCATATCTTTGGACTTAAAAACAGCTGCTGTAATTGTAACACTTTAAAAATCATATATATACGTATATATATACATAAAAATCATATATATATATACATATATACATATATATATAAAATTTTCTTTCTGGAGTTTTTATGGAAGAGAGGAACAAACCTGATATATGAATAATGTTGACAGGAGTTAATCTAGAAAATTCCACTCACATTCCAAGCAAGACTTCAGATAAAAATCTTTGTATTTCTCCTTTTACAACATATTGTCAATTGGCTGTGCTTACTTTAGCTTTACAGATGACATAAACATTTGATACCAATCTTCCTTCCTGGAGTATACCCTCGAGACTGTGACATTATAGTGATCCATTTAACATGCCAGTACTTGGCAGGCAGGCTCTGTCTTGATTTAAGAGACAAACCCTTTCCAAGATATGCATTAAACATGGATCTCAGCCAAATTTCAGCACAGAGTATGCAAAACACCTGAATGTTAAAGCCATGGGTCTTTTTTTTCTCTAAAAATAAATGCTCTACTGCCTTGATATCCTACATTTAACTCTCCTAGCCACAGGCACATGTACTCCATCACAACAGCAGAATTAGCCACTTGCGTTTCAAGGTGTCATATGTTATTAAGACTTGGGCTTTTAAAAAGAGTTATAGGTTTCAATTCCTTCTAGAGTGCTACAACATATGAAGACTATTGTTGTGTATTTTATTCATCATACGTACTGCTGTGTTTGATAGATGTCTCACTTGCAAAAAAATTTACTATCAAAAATGCTAACCTGCTAATTATATAATTGCCTATTATGGATTATTCTGGTGATAAACATCACTTTATAAGTTAGGAACTTATTCAATTGTGACTTCCAGTATCTTTCATATTTCAAGTTGACCCCCATTCAATTCTGATTTTTTTACCTGAAGGGAACCTCCTTCCTATCTCTTATTTCACATATGGGTAAAAAGGTTTCAAATGAACTCATTATCAAATTGTACAGTCAGAGGCAGAGATAGCATTAACCCTCAAATGATCAGATAATGACTTTCATGATCTGAATAGTCATCCTGATTATATTTTTAACAATGAAAAGATATTGTTTATATATCTCAAATTTATGCAACAAAGGTTCATCAAAAGCTTAATAAATGCCAGTCCACACACTAAGCACAGACAATAGAGAGCATACAGACACATTAAAATCTGCTACAATGGGGTACTTGGGGGTACTGAGAAGAGGCACTTGCCCAGTCTGAAGGATCAGGTGGATTCTTTTTTCTAGAAAACTGGACATAAGCTGAGACCAAAAAAATCAGTATAAGTTTTCAAGGTAAATAAATGAAGGGGAGAGAGAGAGAGATCAAAGCTTGAGAAAGGAAAGGTATTATGCCAAGAAACTAGCATGTTTACAGGCCCAGAAATAAGAGAGCATGATGCATAGGAGGAAGGGAATGGAATTCGGTCCGGCTGTGCTGGAGACTACAGAAGGGAATGAGAGAAGTCAAAGGGGGTGGGCCACAAAAATGGCCTTATAAACCAGGTAATAAAGTTTGAGATTGGTCCTGAGAGCAATGGGACTCATGGAAAGGTATTACTTGGCAAAGTGACTGACAAATCTGGCCTTTCAAAAGGCCAACCTGGCTGAAATGAGGTGTAGGGGCTGGCAGAGGGTGCGACTACGTCAGAGAGATGGTGCGGAAGCTAAGGAATCCAGTTTAGAGGTGGTGCAATTATGAACAAAGACTCTGGCAGCAGAAAGGATTGAATGAGTGGGGTCTGCTGATTGATTACAGGTGGATGGAGATTGAGGAGGGATTCTGGCTTAGTTGGTAATGAGGCAGATCATGATTTCGTCCTCTGTGAAAGAGCCCAGTAAGAGAAGCAGAGGGGGATTGAGAAAGGAAAGGAACAGGAGGTGTATTCAACTCGGAGCACGTTGGGTTGGAGATGAACGGCATTTTGAGTGGAGATGCCATGCGCCAGATGGGTAAGCAGCTAAGGAGATCAGGACAGAGCAATCTGGGTTGGAGATTAATATCTGTGTCCCTTTAGCCTATAGGTGATAAATAAAACCTAGTGAGTAAGTAGGATTATCCTAAGGAAAATGTTTAATGAGAAGACAAGAGGGGCCCAGACAGACCATAAGAAAATTCCCATTAGACACATTGGTCATTCACCTAATAGTTATTCAGGGCCTACTCTGTTCACATACTGTTTACAGTGCTAAAGATAGAACATGCACAAAATATAACACCAAGCCCGGCTCTTACAACTATTAATTGAGGGGGAATAAACAAATAAAACATAAAAGTATTATGGCAGATGATAAGCTCTGTGAACAAAAGAACAAAGGGAAAGGAAAGTCATTGAGTTATTATTTAAGAGAAGACCTGAAGGAGGTGAAAGAATGGATCCTACTGATACCTGGGGAAAGTGTTTCAGCCCAGAAAACAACTACTTCTGAGACACTAACTTACTCTAGAAAGAGCAAGGGAGCCAGTGTGGGTGGAAGGGTGTGATGCAGGAACAGTAGAGATGAAATTAGAGGGTAACAAAAAGCCAGGCGGTGGAGGTCCTTACAGGCCATTAGAAGAACTGCGAACTTTTACTCTTAGTGAGTTGTGAAGATATTAGAGGGTTTTGAATGGAAGAATAACATGATATGACTGACCTTTTAAATATATCATTCTAGCTGTTATGTTCAGAATGAAGGCAGGGTAAGGACATAGGCATAAAGGCCAGTTAGACAGCTACTGCAATCATCTGGGTGAAAGATAGTGGCTTGCACCAGGGTGGCAGTTCTGGGTGCTGGGAAGTGATGAGACTCTGGAAGTATTTTAGAGACAGGGCTAACATGGCCTTGCTGATATTTTGAATGTATAGTGAAAGAGAAAGAAAAGAAAATATGGTGACTCCAAGGTTTTTGGTCTAAGCATCTGGAACGACAGAAGAGCCAGTTATTAAAAGGATTCCGTAGGCAGAAGATTGTGCTATAATTTCTTCTCAACTGAAGAAACAGTGTGTTTGGAGACTGTGTGGGGAAAGAGAGCATGACATGTTTGAGGCGGTAAAACAAGACCCACGTGTGGAGTGCCGAGTGAAAGAGATCAAGGTTTCAGATGAAGCCGGAGACAAGAGAAGGGGGCCAATTAAGCAGGGTCTTGTGCATGTCATGTTGTGTAATTTGGTGTTTACCTGAAGAGTTATGGGAAGCCTCTGAAAGCCTTTAAGTGGAACATTCAAATGATTAGATTAGCATTTTATATAAAGATCTGTAGGCTACTCTATGAAGAGTGAGTTGAGGCAGGAGAAGAGTGGACACAGAAAGACTTCTTTGGAACCGCTAGAGTAGCCCAAGCAAGAGACTGTGGGAACTGAAGTTCAACATAGTGAAAGTAGAGATGGAGCAGAGAGGGATTCAGGGAGCAAAGCAGGTAAGACATGGTGATGGGTTGGACAGGCGGGAGAGGAAGATGGAAATGTTAAGGATGTCACATCTCTGGCTTGTGCAACCGAAAAGCTGCTATAACCTTCACTGAGACAGGAGACACTAAAGAGGATCAGAAAGGATATGGATTGGAAGGGTTAAAATCATGAATTTAGTCTTAAACTTGCAGATACCTGAGTAGAAATATCAAGGAGGAAGTTGTACAAACAAGTTTGGAGCTCAAAGAAAAAAATCTGGCTGAAGACATAACTTCATGAGTTATTTGCATATTTGAAGTCATGGCAATAGATGAGATCACCTAAGGAGAAAATGTAGAGTGAAAACAGAATAGCATCTGGGCTGGGCAGAACACACCAAAAACAGCGGAGATAGAGGTGTTATGTCATGGAAATAAAGGCACATATAGCCAACCATTGGAATGTATTTGAGAGTTCAAGTATAAAAAGGACTGGAAACCATTTATTAGGTTTAGTTTCCATGAAAGTCCTTGACGACATTAGTGTGATTTGTGCTGGTGAAATCCAGATTGAAAAAATCAGGAAACAGAGGGCTGGAAAACAGACAGCCCTTTTGAGAAGTGTGTCCATGAGGGGGTAAAGAGTGTAAGTGCACCAGCTGGAGGTGGCTATGAGCTTGGAGGATGGTTTGCAGTTTTTCATGGAGGAATCCTAAATATGCTTAAAAACCCAGTATGAAAAATTAGAAAGAAAGAGCAGATTAAGTATATAAGAGAAAGCAGGGATAATCAGTAAATCAGATGGGATGACATCCAGGACACAGCTGGAGCCACTGGCTTTGGAAAGGAGGAATGAACATTGTGCTATATGGTAGAAAGCAGATGGAAGGTAGTTTGACTTAGGGGCTTGATAGCAAGAAGATGAGGAGGGAATTATCTGATGGCTACTCCCCCACCAATATGTAGTGGAACAATCTGCCCCATTGCTTAGCTGTTCCCATTAGGGCTTATATGCTCAGAGACCTGCATTGAGGGAAGGGTTTTTGTCAAATGGGTGCACTAAAACTGATAAACAATGGAAGTCAGGCTACTAACAAGAGTGTTATTGAAATGAGGGAAAGCACAGTCCAAATAGACTACGGAGAGAAACAGCAAAAGGAGAGGCCGGGGGCATGATAGTCAGCTTTGTTTTGTTTTTAAATATATCTTTATTGATTTCAGAGAGGAAAGGAGAGGGAGAGAGATAGAAACATCAATGATGAGAGAGTCATTGATTAAGCCCACAACTGGGCATGTGCCCTGACCGGGAATCGAACCCCGATAGCCTGGATCCTAGGTCGACGCTCAACCGCTGAGCCACGCCCGGCCGGGCTGGTCAGTTAAGACAGGGAATTCACCACTACTTCTAGTGCTGCAGCTCAAACCCGCAGCCCACTGACCATGGGCAAAATCACCATTCTTAAGTTATAAGGCAACATACGATTTTCTTAAAATTCTTATTATGATTAAAGATTTACAGGAAGTTGAAAAATAGTACAGAGAGGCCCCATATACCTTTCACCCAGTTTCTCCCCATGGTTACATCCTGGTAGCTACAGTACAACAGACATTTATCACATGTGTAGATTTTACAACCACCACCACCAAAAATATATTGAACTATTTTTCATCGGCACAATGTTTTACCTCATGCTACCCATTTACAGTAACACCCCTCCCTCTCCCTACCACCATCCCTAACTCCTGGCATCCGCTAACCTACGTGTTTTCCACCTCTCTAGTTTTGTCATTTCAAGATGTTGCATAAATGGAATCACATGTATGTAACCCTTTGCGGTTGTTTTCTTTTCAATCAGCATAATGCTCTGAAATAAAAACAAACCTCATTGCACATATCAGTAATTTGTTCCTTTTATTGGATGTACCTCAGTTTATTTAAGCAATTCAACTATGTAGAACCTTTTTGGCTGTTTCCAGTTTTTGGCTATTGAAAATAAAGCTGCTATAAACGTGTGTACAGGATTTTTTATGAATGTAAATTTTCATTTTTCTGGGACAAATGCGCATCTTTAGTTATTTAAGACGCTGCCATGCTTTTTTTCAGAGTAGTAAGAACCATTTTACATCCCTACCAGCAAAGTATGATATGCCCAGTGTCTCCTTACCCTCACCAGCATTTGGTATTCTCACCCTTTTTTATTTTAGTTGATCTAATAAGTGTGTAGTCCTATCTCTATATTTTTAAATAGACATTTTCAGCCAGTGCTTGTGGTTGTTTTATGTCAGTAAAGGCAGAAAAAAAGAGAGTGTTGAAACGCCGAGAATATAATCTGTAAATTGACATTTACTACTGTTGTAAAACACTTCGCGAACCTAGACATGCTGGTCTGGTTGGCCATACCTTCATCCATGACAGCTTGCCACTGAAGTACATGCTTTGAGTACGAAGTTCTAACACTATAGGCCTGACATTGCCAGTCTCTGAATCCAGGCAAACCTGCAGGACAAGGTGGATTCTCACATACTCTGTATTGTTTTCGGGGACCATTACAATCCCTTGCTTCAGAACCTAGCCTAGAAAAGATAGTACAAATAATCAATTTTATCTCTTTTTAGGTCAACTACTAATTTTTTTAAAAAATTAAAAGGCATTATATTAATAATGTATACCCCTTTATATTAAATCTGCTTTTGAAAATGTAGACTCATTAAGTAATTGGTAATAGTAGAAAATGCATGTTTTTGTGGTGTTGTTTTTTAAGTCCTTTTTCCAATCCTTGATCAATTTAACTTCCAAAATACATGAGAAATAAAAGCCAACTTGCCAGGAAAATTCAAGAGAAAAGGAGTTTGCTTATAAGAATTATTAAGAAGATGCTTTCTAATATTTTCATGTAAATGCGCTAAACTTGCTTGTGAAGTAATCGGGCCGTGAGCCCACCCCAAGGGTGAGAGCTGCAGTGACTTCCCCGCCCACCTTCCCAGGGTCACGCTAGGAATGCTGGGGCCGGGCAAGGGGACCTTGTCATGCTCCCTGTCTGTACACGTGCTCAGCAGTTCTCGTTTCTCCTCTCTTCGCTTCCTCTGCCATTGATTTTGTTCTCAGGCCTTCCCTTTCTGCAGTCCTATCTTCCTGCTCTTCTCACGGTTCCTTTAGATGTTGACTTACTTTTCCTAAGACACACCTCCCTGCTTATTTAACACATTTTGTTTGACTTAATCAAGAAACCATCCTGTGAAGGGTTTAACTATTAGTTCTTAGAAGGATTGGTCTTATTTTATTCTGTTTCTTTTCCCTTTTTCAATTACAGTTGACCTTCAATATTATTTTGTATTAGTTCAAGGTGTACAGCCTAGTGGTGCGATAATCGTATCCTTTACAAAGTGGTCCCTCTGATATTTCCAGTGCCCACCCGGCGCCGACAGTTATTGCAATAGGATTGACTATGTTCCCTGTGCTGTCCTTACATCCCTGTGACTATTTTGTGACTACCAATCTGTACTTCTCAATCCTTCCCCTTTTTCACCCAGCCCCCCAACCGCCTCCCCTCTGGCAACCATCAGTCTGTTTTCTGTGTCTTGGAGTCTATTTCTATTTCGTTCATTCGTTCATTTTGCCCTTTAGATTCCACATATAAATGAGGTTTTCAAAGGGAGTTTTTATATAAAATAAATAATTTGAGGGAGTTGTCAGTTTCCCAAGGTGGAATAGGGATTGAGGGGCATCTTTTGCTTGCTTACATGGTTTATCAGTAAAATCTTTGCATTTCAGAATGAAAGGAAAAACTGCCCTCCCCGAACCCAGGAACTTGGCGTTTACCCAGGACATGTGCGCTCCCGACTGCTGATCCCAGCACTGCAGGTTCGGCTGCAGGGGCTCCACACGCTCCACTCTCCGGCCGCATGTCCAGGTGCTGAGGTCCTGCTGGTACATTCTCCAGCCTTACACCACTATTCCAAAAGTTATGTCTTAGGTGAACAAATCAGGGCACAACGGAAAATCATTCACTGGCCTAGAGTCACTGGAAATGTGATTAAATCGGGTCTATCGGATCCCCAAATACGTGCAATTGAAAAAGATCACCGATAAGTAGGCCCTTACTGTCGTGGTAACAGAGTGGTCCAGTTCCCCAGTTTTTATGTCAGATCAAAGAGTCTTGTCATGAAAACAGCACACGGACATTTGTACCGTAGCCCTGAGAATTCAGTACTTGTGACAGGAATAGGTGGAGAAGGAACGTGAGACTGCACAGGCCAGGAAAGGAAAACCGACACACTCTAAAAACGTAACGACTTAAAAGTGACAAACAAAAAAAGCAGAGTCATACATAAGAATGGAAAATAAGACATCAATGTCCTGTAACTAGAGAGAAGCAGAATTTTAGCAAATTTAGCAATTTTGATTTGAAATGTCAATGATTCAGGGTACTCCCTTTGTAATTAAAAATAAGTATTATTTAATTTTAGCACTTTCCTGTATGCCTTTCCCCCCCCTTTTTTTCCTGAAAGAGTTCCCATCAAATTCAAGCCTTAACATTATAGCATGATTTCTTCTGAAAGCCATTTTATTTGAAAAACTTGGGCAATTAGACTCTTTGAAAGTCTGTCATTTCATTTCTGTTTTTCTGTAGCTTATTTGCTATCTAGTCACTGAAGAAGGAAACCATGAAAGAAAAGAGTGTGCTCCTGCTTTTTAATATTTACTTTTGCATGAACTTTAGACAAAAGCAGTGAAAGAGGTTGTTTCTGGGTCACCAAGGAATGGCTGCCAGGACTTGGTAGACAGCTTGTTACAGTTTCTCCTTAGTCCTACATATGTGGTGGTCATGGCAAACTGTTCAAGGTAAAAATTAACTGAACAAAATCACATCGAAAATAATAAGTAAAGAATAGAAAAATTTACATTAATGATTGTGTAATGACAGGGGTTGAGCAAGGCGATTCTTTCAGTCCTAAACAGTTTACTGCACTTAAGTGCATCATGATGTATAAGGAATTTTTAGAAAATTAAGAAACACTCTGATCCTCAATTTTCCCATTTCAAAATGAGAATGATAATTAAATTTATCTAACAGACTTTTTGCAGGGGTTGAATGAAGTGCTAAGTTCAATGCATAGCCCACACTAAAGATTTAATGAAGATTCACTATAACAAAAATAAATTACATGTATCATTATATTAATATTATTAATAAGTTTCCAGAAACCTAACCAAAATTCTGTTCATTCTGCTCTTCACTGACCTATGTTTCTTTAAAATTTATTTTGAGAATGTTTTTAAAGTTGTTTTTAGAAGAGAAAGCTCAGAAACTGCACCACATAGTTTTGTTTGAGCCCAGTTAGTGCTTTTCTATGCAATAAAATAATTAGATCCTGCAGATTTTCTCTTATCAGGACAAATTTTAAATTCAACCACTTTTAGAGTCAAGTAATTTTAAATCGAGCTTAAAAAAATAAACCCTAACAGCTCAGATGTATTGATATACTAAGTCCATCATTAAACAAATTGAGATTTTGTATGAAGATTCAGTCTGAAATTTTCAAAAGAGGAAAAGAACAGACCCTGTGAAAACTTTTAAACAACTTAACAGTTTTAAGCATTAAACAATGTTATGCCATTCATGGGGGGGGGAGGGGGAATCCAAGATGAAAGCTGTCAAATTTCAATTGGTCAAATTGTTTTGGCCTACTTGAAAGCTGTTTATTTTTCCCAGAGTGAATGTCATAGCTCCTTGCCCATTTAGCAGCAAACTGACATTAAAAGGATGGGCTAGAGTTCACAGCTGACTAAAAATATTCTGGGAAGGACCAGGATCTAGACTTGTACGTCATTTCAACTAGACCAAATTGGGCAGATGAAGAGAAATGGAAACAGATATGCAAGACAAATCTGCATACACAAATCAGTGAAATTTAAAGAAAACATAGTACTTAAGGTTCATCACCTTGCAGATAAGCATATTTCTGGGTGAGACTGTGGAGAACCTGCTTTTGTGTCTTCTAGTTGGAGCTGTGCTTCAATGTGAGCAAAGCATTAAATGTTTTCTTTAAATTATTATATAATATATTCTATTGAGTTTGAATTTAAAATGATCCTAATAATGTTTTTCATAAATTTTCTAGCAGCATGTTCTGTTTCATTTGTATTTTTTAGCCTCAAAAAAAAAGATACTACGCCTTATCTTTAAAAAATCAAAATTTGTCATATCTACTAATTTAGTTTGATTTATGAAAATGTTAAGAGAATATGTAATATAGACTATTTCTGGGATGGTACATGAGCTAAAAAATTGACTATATTTCTATTCTCTCAAATTTCTATGCAGATAGGTCTAGGAAGCTAAGAGGATAGGAAGAGGTCCATGAAGACGTCAAAGGAAACATTGCTTTCTAATAAAATCTTCTCATACATACATTGTTGGATAAGAGAAAAGGAGAGCAGGAAAGGAGGCAACAAACTCAGAACATACGAAAATTTGTTATTAGTTAAGGATAGTAAAGTCTTCATTTTTTTTCAACTAAGCATGACAATGGTTATTTCAAGAATCTCAGTTTAAAAGAGGAAATAACTAAGATATATTAAGTAGAAGCCTTCAAAATAACTAAGATATATTATGTAGAATCCTTCAAAATAGTCTAAAATTCTAGTAAATTGGTACGACTTTCCTTTCCCCTGCCCCAATTCCTAGCAAATATTGTAAGTAAAAAATATATATTTCTTGGTTTTTACTACATCATTTATCAACACTTTAACCTCTGTTCTATATAAACACAGATGATAGTATTATTTAAGAGAAAAGAAGAAAGAAAACAGGCTGCTTTTAATTTGGAAAATGCTGTGTATAAACAGTAGATAAATTCCTATATTCACAACCATTCTGAATCATAAAATTCTGTAGGCACCTTCTCAATTTAATTATATACCTGTAAGTAAACTAGTTATACAGCTAGATTAACATCACTAGAGTATAATCATAACAAAATTCCCAGCTTTGTTTCTTGGTTTGCAATGCATTGAGCTATAGTGTTTAGTGCGAGGTTATAAGCATTCAAATATTTTAACACTACAGGACTCAACAGCAGAGCATTGGAAGCTGTTTTCATGATGGCTCCTACCACGGCTGAAACACACGGCTGGAGGAGCCGAATTCATGTCATTTCAATACACAAAACATTACACCAGCACCACTAAAAGAATATCACTAGCACAATCACAGGAAAATAAAACATTTTACTTTTGATGAGTTGAAGGAATAAGTTTACTTTAGAAACCTTGAGAATGCAAATTATTCTTGTAAATATCAGAAGGAAAATAATAGAAGAAAACTAGTTATAAAAAGAAAGAGTTTTTATATTGCTAAAGAATTAGGAGAGTGGGTTGTGTGATGTCTGAAGAAATGTGGCAGCTATTTGGTTACCTTTGTTTATTAGTGCTCTTGTGTTTCAGGGATAATGGAAAGCATTGCTGGTGCACAGTTTTATGATTCAAGCAATAAACTACTCAGCACAACACCATAAGGCTTGCCTAATATACACACATCATTGTACTTCGTTGTATAATTTTAAAAATAAAACAAATCCAAATTCTGACTCTTCATTTAAGCTCATAGCAAAACACCTGGCACAGTATTCGAACAACCGACTAGTATTTCACATAAGTTCCCTTTCAAGGAACCATTTTCTCATTGACTGTATCTAGTGATCAAACATTTCTAGTCTTTTGAAAGATATTTTGGACTTAAACAATTTGTACGTTTTTACTGTTTTTAATTAAAGAAATCATGGAAGTAACAAATGACTACGTGCTATTGCAAACAATCCAGAAATGCCTGGAGAGAAGTTATAGTCACTCACCTCCCGCTGCTTTACTCCCATCCATCAATTCCACTTCCCTCCCAAGGGTTAACTACTAATCACATTTTGAAGTTTATATTTTCAAACCATTTATGTATATTTAAGTATATATACTATGTGATGTGTATTCACATCTGTATACAAGTTGTTTTTTCTTAAATCTCAAATGGTATCATACAGTATCATTTTTTCTGACATGGCTATGTCCTAACCGCTGTCTTGCAGACATTTTCATGTTAGAATATATGTATTATCTATTTCATTCTTTTAACAGCTACACGGCAACCATTCTTCTCCTGATGAATATTTTTGTTGTTTCTAATTTCTCACCTTTGCAAGTTACATTTGCATGAACACCTGTGTGTGTGTGTGTGTGTGTACACACCCACATGCCAACTTTGTGCGTGTGTATTTCCTTAGGCAAAATTCTAGAAGTGGAATTGGTAGATTTCTATTGTCAATTTTTCAAATTGATATGTTTTTAAAGTAGCACTCTACATAACCTAATTTTTTCACTAAGTATTCACTCTAAGTAATCTTTGTATTGTCTCTTTTCAAATGTAATAAAAATTCATGTTCTTTAGAGGCAAGGTTTCTGATCTTTCATCTAGAATCAAGTGATAACTGTTTCACTTTCCCTTCACAGAATAAAAAATTTAAAACTATGTAAACCATTGAACTGTTATCTTTTGATTAAATTTACCATAATTATAAGTTTATATGTGATCTACCTCATTCATTTCCTTCAAAAGAAAATTAAATTTTCAACAGCAGTTATTTTGATTTGGAAATATATACCAATAAACTTCTATAGCCTTATAAAACATATTAGGTTAAACAGCTTATACAGCCAAATATTTACTAATCCCCAAAATGTCCATTAGAATATTTTATTTATGATACTTGAAATGCCAAGGAAAAATTATACTCAGTGGCTCTCCTGAGACAATATTTTATACCTATAAGTATTCACCAGTTCTGAGAAGTGTGATTATGTATGCTATTTTTATGATTATTATTTTTTACTATTAATTTAAATTGTAAAAAAATATGAATTCTTTTTTGGCAAGGTAACACATATATCTTTGACTCTCAACATTCTCATAATAAACAACAATGAAAAATAATTACATTAGCCCAGCTGGAGTGGCTCAGCGGTTGAGCATCAACCTATGATCCAGGTGATCCCAGTTCCATTCCTAGTCCAGGCACAGGCCAGGGTTTCGGGCTCGATCCCCAGTCAGGGGTGTGCAGGAGGCAGCCAATCAATGACTCTCTCATCACTGATGTTTCTATCTCTCTCTCTCCCTCTCTCTTTCTCTCTCTGAAATCAATCAAGATATATTTTTAAAAATAATAATTGCATTGATATTAACAGAACCACTGTGAATTTAAAAGTATATAAGTTAAAACTGAAAATAGATGAAATGCTAAAAGTTTTATTTATACTGAAAGTATTCCACTCAGTGTTAAGATGGATACATATGTAACTGGCAGGAGAAAATGCAAGTTTCTTAAGTTTTATTTGATATTCTAATAAACTTCAGGCAACACAAATGACTTACCTTACCAGTGTCACAGTCAGTTCCGTCCATTGGGGGATCCAGTTTGGTTCTGCATTCTTTCTCACCTTCTACCTTGCACCACAACCCTGTGCAGATAACATGCTGAAAACAAGGGCATAATAACTAATAAGGGAACAGTATCACATTTTTGAGGTTAAAGCAATAATTTTTGAAAAAGCTATTTGAATAGAGTAACAGAAATTATTTGAAAAAAATATGCTTTAGGTACTTTTAGTATTGAACTTATGATTGAACTAGTATATGGATTATTTATAGTGGTGAGAGGATTGATATATAAAACAGGAATTCTGCTTAATATATTTAAATATATTTAAATTTCTTTTAATAAAACACAGGGGATCATGCAACACTGAGTAGCTGCAAGAGAAAAGTGCGCACTGAAAGTCACTGTTTATACCACTGCATGAGCCAGGTCTGAAGAATGAAAACGCCTCCTGTCCTAAGGGTTGAATGCCAGGGCTAGTGACTCACGACCTCACTGTGCATCCTTAGGCCTTGGCACAATACAGAGCACTCAGTGGGTGTATTTCCATTCATTACCAGTCATTTCACCTCAGAAGGAATGAGTTCTAGATCCCTAGAACACAAGCAACTTTTTCTAAGAAAAAGTTGAAAGATGAAGTTGTTTTACACATAAGCACGTTACTAACAAATTGCATAGAAGCATGAAATCCATGAGGAACAGCTAAAGGTGATGAAAGGGATCTCTAGTGCGCATGACTGTGCCGCCACCTATCCAGGTATTCGGAGAAGGGAGTGGAAGTGAACAGGTCCACGAAGACAGACCAAGTGGCAACGTGGACCACACGATCGTGAAGCGGGGGGAAGGCCCGTGTGACGACGGGAGGGCGCACAGGGAAGGGAGTCCTGGGCAAGATTTTACAGAGAGAAGAAGCAGGTCCTCAGTGTCCAAAAGGACTGGGGACTCTGTATTTGGAGGGAAAAAGAAGCCACCTAGCAGGTGACCAGCAAGTTAAGATAAAAAGGTTATTTTAGGAGGTTTACACTGGTGATGGTGTTCAAAACAGCCTTTTTAAAAACCATGGCTCAAATGAACTTATGACCCAGATCTGGGAAAGATATATTTAAGCTAACATTTTAAACGGGTCTCGTACACCTCTAACAATGGATGTGTCACAACTCCCAAAATATTATTTTCCTATTCTTTCTTTATTTAAATATTTAGATTTCTGAAATGTTTGTAAGCTCTTAAAAACTCAACAATCTAGGAAACAGTGTGCTATATTTTATTTATGTTGTTTTACCTGCTGTGACAGATAGTTTTCTGCTTCAAAATGTTTCATACAAGTATATCTTATATTTAGGATATGATTTAGCTTATCTTGTATGCTTTCATTTCCACATATCATTTATCAAAAATTCATCCAGGAACTTATTTTTAAAAATCCCTAAATCAAATTGCTTCTGTAAAATATTTTAGACTCTTGAAAATAAACAGAGAGGTTAACTGTTTAATGTACTTTTGAGGACACATTTATATTTGAATGAACAGATCTCTAACCTGAGATTTTAGTTCCTAAAAGTGGGGATTTTTTTTTTCCTGCTAAGACCTTTATGTTAAGGATGTTTTATAATCATGGGGTCAAATGCTGAATTTTCTGCCAAGGAAGAATGTTGCTTTACTTATATTCAATAAAGCTTAGTTGTGTGAAAACATGAATTATTTCAGTCAAGTTCATTAGTTAACCAGTACACAGTGAACTAAAAAGCCAACCTTCTGTTCTGTAGTTTTAGGATAATGCTCGCTTGTTGAACACTGTTGGTGGTCTGAATTCTGACCTTCTACCATTATCTACTATTCAAAACAGCAGGTACTTTAATTGATTTCCACTTGAGGCACTGAGAGCATAAAAGCAAACTTGGCAGCTTTTCAAGATAAGCACAGTCGTGCAGAATAAATCTCTCAAAGAGGAGATCTCTCTACCCTTTCTGTTCTGCAGGTCTAAGGACCTCATGGTAAGTAAATCACAGCCTCATTTTTAAAAATAACAGATCCAGAATTTCAAACCAAACTGTCTAAAATAAAGCAAGGAAATGTTGAAGAAATGGTGTGGGCCATTTTGTTTAACCTTAAGTGGAATATCTCAGATGTGTGATATTAGAGCTATGTAATATCAAGCCCTTTCTTAAGATAATTCGGGGCAGGGTGGGTTATTTTGTTAGAGCCAGACAGGAGTCAGAGTTGAATTTTTTTCAACTTAATTGCTGAAACCACTTAATACTTCGATTAAGAGAAGAACTTTCAAGCTTAAAATGCTTTGTGTAGGAACCCAGAACTCAGCATTTCCTAGCAAACTAATAAAAAATAATACAATATCCTTTTTTTTATTCTTCCATAATAAGAAAAGACCATTAAAAGCACATAACATGAATCTTAATGTTTATCTCAAATAGACTTTTAAAATGTTTACATGAAAATACTACGTTTGTTTTAAATCAAATATTTAAATGGAAGATTAATTGCTCATGTGTAACCATCATAAAATTTATCTTCAAAGATAACCTGTACCCATGTCTTTCTTTATAGAAAGACAAATAGTTCCATTAAGATGTTCTGACAGCTATGTTAAAATAAAAAACTTAAGCGCATATACATGAAAGAAACAAATCTTGAATATGTAAGTCTTCGTTCTTCCACATATTATGTTCCAAAATACAATTTCAATAACTTAAACATTTGATTGAAAATGTAATTCAGTATAGAATAATATTTTCAAAAACAGTCTTTTCCATCACAGAACACCTTAGTATCATTAAGAATGGAAGAGAGGAAGAAAGCGAAAGAGGTACTTAAAAAATAGAAAGAGAAGACTCAAAATAAATAATAAAATGCTGAAATCTAGTCCTTTGTAAATACTAATAAAATTGAAAATTAGCAAGAAAAAAGAGGAGGCAAAATAGACACTATTAGGAATAAAAATTGAAGTCATAACTACAGATATTATAAAGTTTGAACAGAAATAGGATGATTATGAACTTTATGACAATAAACTTGACAACTTACATAAAATAGAAAAATGTTTTTTAAAAACTTACTAAACTGGTCCCAAGAAGCAATAGAAAAGCTGAACTGTTTTGTAACCATGCTATAGTTAAAATTTATTCTTAAAAATTGTCTCTCAAAGAACACATCTGGTCCAAAAACTAACAATCGCTCAAGAGATTTATAAATTCTCAATTTATATAGAAAAGAAAAAGAGGAACAGTTCTAAACACACTTTATATACCGAAAGCAGAAAGGATTTTAAAAGAAAGTAAAAATAGTGATCTACCTCATTACTAACTTAAATTTAAATACATTAAACAAGTTTTAACATACTGAATCCAGCAAATGCTTAAAAAAGGTCATGTACCATGGCCAAGTTGGTTTTTTCCTTGGAATAGAAGTTCCTGCAATATTAGATATTTGATTAATGTAATCAAGCACATAAGTAACTTTAAAATCTGTAATTTTTATATCTATGGGTACAAAGCATGAGATGCAATTCAACATCCATTAGAACATTCATTAAAAAAGAAAATTCTCAGCAAACAAGCCATTGAAGAAAATGTCTTCATGATTAATGGACATTTATGAAAATCTACAGCAAACATCATTAAAAAAAAACCACAGTGAAATGTTGAAAGTTTTCTTTTAAGATTAGGAAAATGACAAAAATGGCATCTTGGCACTAACATAAGGAAGTGAACACATAATATATTCAAAATGGCAAGAGGGGGGGAAAACTCATTATAGAATCCTCAACTTAGCTAAAATTTTATTCAAGACTAAAGGTTAAAAAAAGACTCTCAAGGAAACAAAAACTGAGTGTTTACCACCAACAGATCTGCCCAAAAGGAATTTCAAAATGATGTACTTCAAGAAGAAATATGATCTCATAGGAAAGGACTAAAATGCAATAGTGAGCAAAGAGGCTGATAAAAATGAGGATAATTCTAAATAAACATTGACTACATAAAGCAACAATAATTGGACTTTAGCCATTATAAACCTTCTTTAGTAGGAGAAATACTAGAAATCTAGCTCACTTACATCTCAAAACTGTATCCCTTAACAAAGGAGATTTGGCTGCTAACAGTTAAATAAGTTTGTCTTTCATTTTACCTCCCAACTCCACGTACTTCAAGATTGCTAGTGGGAGACGTTAATAGGCGTGGGAAGAAAAATGTAGACTATGCCTAGCAAGCAAATAAAGTAGCAAGTTGCAAGGGACTCCTCAATAGAACATACTAGAAAGTTAAAAAAAAAAAAGTCAAGGAGTGGCCCTGGCCAGGTAGCTCAGTTGGCTAGAGCATTATCCCGATAGGCCCAGGTTGCGAGTTTGATCCCTGGCCAGAATCCCATACAAGAATCACCCAATGAATACATCAGTAAGTGAAACAACACATCTCTCTCTCTCTCTCTCTCTCCCCCTCAAACCAATCAATAAATAAAAAAGTCAAGGAGTAAGAGAAAATTTAGAGAAAAGAGAACTGTCACTACCTAGGTGATGAAGCCCCAAAGAATGAAAAGTGGGAAGAAGCTATTTAAAATATTTGAAAGAAAAATGATCCATAATTCCTTAGTATGAAAGAGAGAGAGAGATAAAAGGGTTCTCCCTCTGGAATGGGGGAGTAAGTTCCTAGAAGACAAACCCTTCTGTAAGTAACCATAAACCAAGGGCAGGATACAAAAAGCAACTTCCTGGTGGTTCTGGAGAGTGAAAAAGGCAGGTAAATTTTTCAGGGAGTTGAAGATTGGCACAAGCTGAGTTCACCATTTTTGCAGCTTTGACCTAATAGTGGCTTGTGGTCATGGCATGACACTGAGTGGCTAAAGCAACAGTAAAGAGAGAAACTGGGGTGGTCAAAGCTCCCGAAACTAAAGGGATAATCCCCAAAGGGAAAGAGTTAGAGGAGCCTAAATCTTTAGTTGACACCCAACCCATACAGACATGAGACATGCTCCAAATAGCTGAAATAAGGGAAGGGTGAACTCAACCAAGATATGAGCAGCTGTACACTGTAGGTGAGACAAAGTTTCCAGTTTGAATCTAACAAACTTAATTGCCTCTGAAAAC